AATTAGATCTCTCTCCTGCACTCTCACTGACCTATTTATTACCAAAGAATGTTTCACCCCACATTACAAGTATTTACCTTCTCTCTTTACTATTAGATTGCTAAGTTTCTCAAGAGCAAGGATGCATTCTTATTTATCCCGGTATCTCCATCCCCAGAATTCACAAAAGCAACTCAATACATATTTGTAGACTGAACTCTGCATGAACAGGTAGAGAACAGACATGGGCTGCCTAGGTTCCAGCCACAGAGACACCTGAACACTGACTTTCTAGATAAGGATTTAACTTGCTGCTCCTAGTTTGGCTCAAGAACCTGGAAGATCCCAAATATAAATAAATATCTGCAATGAAGGCGTAAGGATACTAGCTAACTTTGTGTCTGCTGTGTATTTTAGCAGCTGGTCCCCAAGGACCAGCTTACACGTACAATCCCGTTACCTCTCCCAGTAAAAGAACTCAGTGTATAGGGGCTTCCTTACCTCTCCCAATCCCCCTGGTCTAACCCATTCTTCTGGCCTCAGTTTCCCATGCCAGTAAATAATTGAGGCTTGGATATGTGCCAATGGGCATGAGGGAAAGCCTAGCAGGAAGCTTCTGGAGAAAGTGCCTTGCTCTTAGAACTAAAGAAAGTTAGCTCCTTTCCGTGCTTCTGGATGGTGCTAAATTTGGATATCATCCCTGAAATTGTCACATCCACCTTGTAAACATGAGGCGAGCTAGCCTTGAACCAACACACACAGAGAACTATAGAAAACCTGGACCAGGGCCGTGATCAACTCAATGAATCCTCTCTTCCTTTGAGTTTTTGTGTCATTTTTTTTTAACCAAATATGGTTTCGTGGTAAAAGATGACAGAACAGCATACAATATGAGAGTACTTCAAAAAGTTCATTGAAAGATTGTATTATCCTTTAATTCTATTTTTCCACCAACTCTTTGAAGTCCCCTTGTACAATCCCATTTACGTAAAAATATTTTTATGCATAAAGTTCTAGGTGATATCAACCAATCTCTTAGCTGTCGTTATCTTGGAAAGGAAAAAGGACTGTGATGAGGGCATTTTTATTTTATACTTTTCTATATTACTTTTATAAATATACAAGATTTAAATGATTCTGGAATTTAAATGTATTCTGGAATTTAAATGTATTCTGAAATTTCAATATATCTTCATGTTGTTTGCACAGGAGACACTAATCACTTTTAACAATAGCATTAATCAAACAAATGGGAATATAGGTAAATGCAATATATTGAGTTCCAACCATAATAAAGCAGGCATGTCACCAAAGCACAAATAAAATTGAGTGCGCAATTATTTTTCATTACTATACAGTAGCCCTGTTCAGTCTTTGGCTGTGCTTTCTTCAGAGGCAAATATCTACTTCCCTTATAGTACTTAAAAGTGTGGACAGAGTTTTACATCCTGATTCTGTATTTTAATGAAGTTTGATTCTATATTTTGATGGAGATGTATGCTGTGCACAGCAGTAGCATATTTGAAAATGAACAAACAATAACAAATGTTAAAGGAAACTTCATTACAAAGTAGCAAATATTTAAGATGAACAAGTCTAGAGATCTAATGTACACATAAAGACTACAGGTGATAAGATTCTACAGTATTTGGGATTCTTGCTAAATGAGTAGATCTTAGCTGCTGTCACCACAAAAACAAACAAAAATGGGTAACTATGTGAGATGATGCATCTGTTAATTTATTTCACTATAGTAACCATTTTATTATCTACATAAATCCTGTAACATCATGTTGTACACCTTAAACATACACAATAAAATTAATTTTTTTCAAAAAAGTAAATTTCACTTTTTTTCAGCAAGTCATTAGCCCAGTCATCTGAACAACTGACTTTTAATAATGGATGGTCCTTAGCCACAAAAAAGCAAGGCGTGGTTCTAAATGCAAAACTTTTTCTCATCGTCATCAAATGTGTTTGCATTACTATCTCCATGTGACAGCATTTTGGACATTAACTGGTACCAACATTACTCTATTTACTGAATTGTTTAAGAATTCAGGAAAAATTATGAGAATAAAGAACGAGCCTTTATAAAGTTCATTAAGAAAGAGTAGGGAATCAGGTAATATACAAGGTTCCTTTTGTGTTCCTTTATGTCTAAGGCTGTTAATTTGTAAGGAGGGAAATGATTTCATGAAAATTAGCATTATCTTGATGTCACACTTCATACGAGGAAAAGCAGATCTTCGTTTAAGCAAATCTCCCATATTAAGCACTAACCAGGCCCGACCTTGCTTAGCTTCCAAGATCAGTTGAAGTCAGGTGTATTCAGGGTGGAATGGAATTAGACTGTTTAAGCCAATCGACTGTGTATAATTTAAGTTGGAGATGACAATTTGCTTGACAAAAGGATTCACCATTAAAGTCTCGTAATAGTTAAATGAAGATATTTTGAGACTCTAGGAAAGATGATATGGGTTCCCGTGGACTCCAGAAGACTTGAATCCTGTAAGTGCCAGGAGCATTCACTCACCACATATAATCAGACATAGTATTTATTTAGCTGGTATGCACTCTTATGACTAAAATGGTGGTTCAAAGGGAAAACATCTATTCCTCTTGGGAAATGGTCACTTCCTCAAGTCCCCAAAGTGTTCCCTAACCCTAACCACCCAGGGGTCCTTGAGAATACCACCCCCAAATCCCCAAACACAGCAGAGATCTCCAGGACCTTTCCTCTAACACTGTGGCTGGGGGCCACTTGATTAACTGGTATCTGTGCCAAACCAGCTGTTAAATATTTTGAATGTCAATCCTGGGTATAATCAAAACTGCTCAGCAGTATAAGAGAGGATGTTATTTTCCCCCAAATGCAGTATCCTCTGGAGCTACTAGCTAAAAGAGAGATTCAGCTCCATGAAATAGGTTCTTTTCCTATGGCAAATTTTCCTCAAATTGTATTTCCTAATTAATGTCTTACAGGAGCTATGCTGGGCTTCGTTAAACAATGTTTCACATGTCACACGAATTACTACTTTATGTCTGAAAGAAACTTTCTAGATAGAGAACAATTCAAAAATAAATTCAACTAAATAAAAATATTTGAGAGGAGCAGAAAAACCTAACTAATAATATCTTAAAATTAAACATAAATCCTAAACAGTATTTCAAAGCACTTCATTAATATGCACAGAAAATTTAGAGCTTGCCTAGCTCAACCCCATGATTCCGGGGAGATAAAAGATTTTCAAATTTGTTAAATTTAGGAAAAGCAGCTTAGCAATAAAAAAATTAAATTTATGGCAATTTAGTCCTAAGCTGATATCTACCGAGGTAGCTGAAATAGCTATACACATTTTGCTAGATGCTAATGCAAAAGAGAAATGATTTTCCTTTGTAAAGACAGATTTGAATTTCAAAGTTGATATGCCTCAGTGCTGTTTAAAAATCAGGAGGGGTTATTCCAGGTAGAAACTAAACTAGTTGAATTGATAAATTTTTGCTCTTTCTAAATGTAAGCCTACCTTAAATTTTAAAGCTTTGCATGAAACAATAAAATTTTTTTTGAAAAACTTTACCTATTCTAACAGAATAATTTCAAGCTTTGTCGTGACCAAAAATGAATTTGAAAAATTAAAATAAACACAACATATCTGGAGTTTTTGCAAAATAAGCTTTTAGTCTAATATCAAATAAAAATCACTAAAGTTTCTTCTCCATGCTTGGTAGCATACTATTAAATTTAAAATAATTCTAGAATTAATGCACTAACCAATTAAAGTTTTAAGCTGTGTGACACTAAATTTCAAAAAACTACAAGCCTGATGAAAACAATGTTACATCATAGTTGATTGCTAATTTCATTTTTTTGGGGGGGGGGGGGCATCTGGCCAGTTGGTAGCATACTATTAAATTTAAAATAATTCTAGAATTAATGCACTAACCAATTAAAGTTTTAAGCTGTGTGACACTAAATTTCAAAAAACTACAAGCCTGATGAAAACAATGTTACATCATAGTTGATTGCTAATTTCATTTTTTTTTGGGGGGGGGGGCATCTGGCCAGTACAGGGATCTGAACTCTTGACCTTGGTGTTACAAGGCCACGCTGTAACTAAGTTAACTGGCCAGCCCCACTTATTTTTATGGAACCACGTTGTATCATCTTTTAACCTTGTTATTTATCTATACCAGAGCAAAGATTAACAACATCAGCAATATATAGATCAATAACAGCAAAAGAAAATTTTAAGTGTCATTCCTGAAAATACTATAGTTTATTAAACCATACACTGTAGTAATTACAGTGTAAGAAAATTTTTAACAAAACAGATAACAAAAATTTGATCCATTCATCTGCCTGCTTAATTCTAAAACTTTACTGAATGGGTTAAGAATGGGTAACAGTCCAGAAATCAGCCACAGCTAGTCTCATGGAAAATAATTAAAATAACCAAATAGACTTCGAAAGAAAAATATCTGCATTTGGAGACAAAATAAGAATTTCAATTTTCAGAAGAAAATGATTAGCCGTTTGCAAAATTAGAATCGACTAAAGCCATATCATCATAATTTCATTACTTAAATATACAACACTGCCATGAAATTTTACTTGCCATAAAGAAGCTTAGAACATAATCACATGGTTAGAGACATTTGAAAACTAGAGGTTAATGACAAATAGCCATGCAAAAAGCAATTGTTTAAGACAGTAACAATAACAGCTCTGAAAATGTAGGAAGACACAGAAATGCTCAAAGAAAGGTTTTGTTTTTAACTATAGACATAAGCTTGAGGCTTAGTGACACAGGTCACATTGAGGTTGGATTTTTGTTTTTAATTTTTAAGAGACCACAGGTCTGCTGGATAAAGAAAAAAGTCAAACCTAAGGACATGACGAGAAAAAGGCATTGACTTATTTCAGCAAAAAGAAAATCTCCAATACCTATGAAAGAAATTATTTATATAGTAGCTAAGTTTGTTAAAATACTGCAAGTCTACACAAACTGAGTACTTGCCCCTTCTGACTTCTCCACGGTGTTAGCCAGCATCTCCTGCAGGGCCCGAACAGAGAGGGACTGTTCCAGCACGAAGGTACAGATGGAGAGATCTGGGGGGACATTCTGTGGAAAGAGGGAAAGCCATCAGCAGTGTAAGAGTCACCTCTCAACTGCGAGCTCCTAAATCATCAAGATGCACTGTCATTACTGCTCACATTTAATACACTTTTAATATCATGGATAACAGTGGCTCCTATTTATTGAGTGCTTACTCTGATAGGCTTAGCACTCAAGCCTTGTCAACAACTCCTGTGATTGTCTTTGGTAAGGATTATTACTACCATTGTGTGCACAAGAAAACAGAGAAGGTAGGTTACTTTTCCAAAGTCATAGAGTCACAAACATTTCAATCCAGGATCAAAATCCAGATTTCTCTGATTCTCAAGCACTAATATCTAACCTCCCAAGCAGCTTGCTATTAAAACAAAAATTAAGAACAAAAAAAATAATACTTGCCTCTAATTAGTATTGAAGTTTAGCAAATATAAAATTGCACTGGTATAAAATATTCATTTACACAGGCACCTCCTAATCCACAAAGATAACAATTACTTTGTTTTATTAAAGCCAGATGTCATTTTGCCTCTAAACTGTTGGGTGCAAATATGTACAATATTGCTGTATTTTCTCATCACCCATTCTTCTTTCTTTCTCTTAACTTCCACTCCAACCAATACCCCATAAATTCCAAAAAATCCCAAAACGTCACTCCCAAGGAGGTGAAAGATAAAAATTGATTTGTGACCTAGAGGGAACTACACATTATTAATCATGTATGCTTTCGCTTGAGATTAGCTGGATACAGTATACAGTGCAGCAAGGTATGGGCAGATGCTTAAAGGCGGATTTCCATAACAGAAAAACATGAACACAGTCAACATGAAACACAACCAAGATCATGTGTTCTTCAGAAAAAGAATATTATGAGGATAAATCCAATAAGCTTATGCAATACATCAAAATTACAATTTAAAACATTTTTAGTATTTATTATATAGAACCACTACCAACGGAATTGCATTTTTTTTATCATCAGGAGAGAATGATGCTTCATGGTTTCAAGGAAAGATTAACTACTGGGGTTCCAAAATTAAAATTATTTTATAGTTAATGAAGCACATAATCAGACCACAATGCTTACTCATACCCCACACACCTCCCTGGTACCACGTTTTGTTTTGTTTTTTTAATGAGCTTTCCCTCTCTGAATTCCTCCATATTCCTATCACAGGCTACTGTGTCCCCAATCCAATTGACAACTTCCACTCCTCCTCAGAGGATCTCAGCCAGCAGCCCAGGGGTCCTCTCAAATCTGAGCAGAGCTACTGCTTCCATACTCCGCAGCTGACTACACAAGGGCTTTCTTTCCAAAGTCACCAAATACAAAACTGGAAGCTAAGAAAGTGACTCTCTTCTACTGTGAAATTTAGGACTGATTGCTCTTAAAGTTAATGTTCTAAGTTCTAATGATGCTAATGACAATCTCTCCTCTTCAGATCAAGACAAATGTTACTGGGGGGAAAAATCCATTAATGGAAGTGTTTGTTTCATTCACTTCCATTTAAAATGTGAGGGCTTGTCAAATATACTCTGACAGATAGATAGCGCTTGCTAACAACCAACTCCTGGCAGTGCTTAAGAGCCCTTTCCAACATACCCTTAGACTGATTTCAGGCCAATATTCATTAATTGCTTTAGAATCAGCATGTTATAATACAGAGCATGGGTTCTATTATAAACAGACCACTGAAGCAAGAATCCTGGCCTCACTACTTACTAGCTGCTAACTTTTCCTTTTTTTTTTTTTTATCTTTTTCGTGACTGGTAAGGGGATCGCAACCCTTGGTGTGGTGTCACCCACACCACACTCAGCCAGTGAGCGCACCGGCCATTCCTATATAGGATCCAAACCCGCAGCGGGAGCGTCGCTGCGCTCCCAGTGCCGCACTCTCCCGAGTGCGCCACAGGCTCAGCCCCGCTGTTAACTTTTCTAATCTTTGGTTTCCTTCCCTGAAAAATGGGATAATAGTTATACCATCCTTATAGAGCTGTTGGGAAAAATTAATGAGATAATATAGTAATGAGCTATCACAATATCAAAAACTTAACAGGAACTCAAAATAAGTGAGTCATTATCATGAGCCTTGGGAATTGTGACTTCTCTCTATCTGTAATATCCATGAAATACCAGTCATTTCTTAAAATTGGTTTTACATGGATTCCACTCTGGACAGTGCTTGAAAACACTAATCTATAATTATGCACCTGTTCATAACATCTAAACTGTTCTAGTATTTTCAAGAAAAGGCACTTTCTGGTGACTTTTAAAAGTTTATGTTCTGGGTGTATTTAAATTGTTTCAAAATGCTAAGTACAGATCATTATAATAGCTTACATTATTTAGACATCCTCAAAAATCACATGCATTTGAAACGAATTAATCCTGCTAAACAAATTTCAGTTTTCCACCGAGTGACAGACCTGGTGTGGATATTTTTCTAGGTAGTGGTGTTAGCAGGAAGAAATTTGTCAATACTCTTTGCAGGCAATTCTCTGTTTTTAAAGACTTAATCTGTTTTCTTCTGACTTACCCTTTCCCTCTCTCTCTCTCTCTCTCTCTCTCTCTCTCTCTCCAACGTTCTCCCCTTCACACACACAAATGTAATAGAAAAGCTGAGACAGTAAAAAAATATTGTTTACCTCTTTCAGGGAAACTTGAAACAATACAAATCAGAGTTTTGTATGTTATCTGTTTTGTTCTAAAGAAAAATGGTTTACTTATTGTAAGCAACAGAATCACGACCATAACTTGCTACCTTTTAAAGTAAACTACTAAAAGTGTGCCTTAATTTAGATGTAGATCTCCTCAAATAACCTTGACATGTGTGCAGTTATTCCCACTATAGCATGTATGCTAAGCCTTTCGTCCCACTTCCCAGATATGAAGCTGAATCACTGGAAAACAGAGTCTCATTCATCAATCAAAGGCAACCTAAATAGCCCCAAACCAAAATGACTGCTAACACCAGGCTTGGCAAATAAGGGGTAGCATTAAAAACATCTGTCATGGAAGCTCCAATTGGCAAGCATTTGCAAGTTATCACCTTTTCCTTAGTCTATTGTTTTTTTTGTTTGTTTTGTTTTTTTTCTTTTTGCTCAAGTCTTACTAAGGAGTAAGTTAATTTTTAGAACTTCCACTGGAAAGAATATTGTTTGCCTTTACTGTCAGTGTGCTTCCAAATCCAAAGAGAAACCCTCATATAGTACGCTTTTCATTACAGGCGGTTCAGAATACCCAGATCATATTGAGGCACTCGTACTTACCCAGCTGTGTCCCCACTGGCTATGGTCATTAGGCTCTCGTGTTTGCCCGGCTGTGCCCTGCTATGCTGTAACCAAGACCCCCACCCAGATGTCATACAGACCCAGCTGCTGCTGGGGCTGCACCTTGTTTTACACTGTGGTTAACACACACTGCCTGCTGTAACAGAATTTTCTATTCTGCTTCTTTTTTGTAATTTTCCACCCTGAAACAGAGTCATAACCACATAAGATCCCAAGATCACCACTCTTGCCCTGTTACAAAAACCCAGAAATACTATAATATAAAAATAATAGCCCTGCTGCGATCGGGGCTCAGCCTTTGAACTTGAGTCTGCTGAGACAATGCCGGCATATTAGTAAACTCTGTTTTCCTGTTTTAAGCCTCGGTGTCTCCTGCCTCTCCCTGCAAGTTCCCAGTAACTCACTGCAACAAGATCAGAACAGAAAACTGAAGACTGCAGTTGCACATACACACCTATCAGCCTGTTACACAAAACCCATGCATTTACTGCCGTGCAAAATTAAATCAGAGAAAGTGATTCCATCTGCCTAAATGTCTATCTGGGCTGCCCAGAATTGGGTCCAAAAGCAAGCAGCGGAGATTAATACTGTTTTTTATATGATCACCAATTTTATCAGGATACGTGTACTAGGCTGGTAGCATGGCTGTTTGCCTTCTCTTTTCTTTAACATACAAACTAACCACCATTCTCCTGTGCGTGGGCAACAGGGAAAACATTCTCAATAATAACCACAAAGCAGTATCTAGCATTGCTGGCACTGTGGAGGCTTTGCGAAATCAATTAGGTTTCCAACTGAGACATCCGTCAAACCATGTGGCTTCCACAGATGTATCTGCCTAACCCACTTAAAAACCTATTGAAACATGTCACTACCTTAACTGAACTCCAACCAATAATTTAGGACTGTAGAAGCCACATTAAACCATCCCTCTTGTTAGAACCGTCTAAAAACCATAGCCTAATAAACTCCTCCATTTAACATCCTGATGCCTCTCAGCATAGTTTTTCTTTCTCAGCCTGAATTATGCATCTCCAGGTCTCCACCTATGGAAACTACTTTATGTTTTTAAATCACACATAAACAGAAATATACAAAAATTCATTTCCTGTTAGAGAAGTCAAACAATACAGAAATATTAAAAATTCTCTTTCAAATTTTAATTATGCTCACTCTTCCTCCCAGGAGTATCCATTCAGCTTTTTAATGTGTATCTTTCCAGGCCTTTTTCTATGCATTTGTATACATATACGAGGGTATTGCAAAAAGTTCACAGAAATAATACAAATCTTTCCATGACCTTTTTGAAGTACCCTTGTATATGCTCATAGAGAAATACATAAGTGGTTTTTCTTGTGCATGGACTCACTCTGTACAAATTGCAATCTTTTAATTTACTAACATGTCCTGGAGATCACTGTCAGTAAATATACATCAACTTCATTGAGCGTGACTGCTACGGAATCTAGACGCACCACATTCCGTCTGAAGGTTGCTCAGCTGTTCTGTGTAACACTGTGTAAAACTTTTGGTTTTCAGTAATTCTAGGTTTCTATGATGAAGGCAAACCAGTCAAATAACTTTTTACATTGTCTTTCAATTGTGCTCCAAGAGACCTTCAGAGTAACACAGACGAATCTCAAAATGTATTTTGAAAATGAATGATGCATTAAACGGTAATAGTTCGACAGCACAGGAAAAAAAGGGTTAAATCACCA